ACAACACCAACCTCAGGAGCGCCCCCATTGGCCACCGGCAGTACCGCAGCCCACAGTCCTCGATGAGCCTCTTATAAAGCCAACTTTATATCAGCCACAGCCGAGCAAAGACACACTGAACGCCAACAACAGCACCACACGCTGTTGGCATTCAGTGTGTCTTTGAGTCTCTTTGTTATTATGTTATAATGATGTTATTTTATGTCTCTTTGTAGTTGTTTTATGTCTCTTTGTGATTGTTTTATGTCTCTTTGTAGCTTTGTAGCATCTGTTTGTAGTTAAAACTCGACATAAACTTGTAAAATAAGTAGGTATATTTGCTAATTAGCAGGACACAGGAAGTGTGGCTGATGGGAATGTGAGTTCTGCAGTAGTGGACAGACAGGGACTGTATTTTGGTTATTCATGAATTCTCTACAACAACAAATACTGTCCTGCGTGTTTTAACCTGTTTCCTGCTAAAGAGTTAAAACACGCACATGTTCCTCTGCTGATGTCTGTGTAGGGATGATGTGGATGTAAAGAGCTCAAACATGCTAACAGTGTCCACAAGCTGAAGTCCCTCAAACGCTGTCCATCACTCTGTCGTCTGGTTTCTTTGAACCGGCTGTAAAGAGTCTGACAGCTGCAAACAGCGAGCTCCAACACGCCGCTCGCCAAAGTCAACACTCAAACTTTACTCCTCTGTTCTTCTTCTCCCTCCTTTCTTGCTTCCACGTCTGCGTTCGTGCGGCGAGCAGCAGAGCGGCTCCACGCCTTGTCCCGTAAAACTTAACCGCTCCCACATCAAACAGCGGCGAGGCTCGACGGGCCCGGACTGATCATCACAGCGCCGGCTCTCACAAACATGCTCGCAGCCCGAGGCTCACGGTGACCTCCGCTAATTAAGCTAACGAGGCTAACGTATTGCTAACGAAAACAGTGAAAACATCTGATCTGTGTGAGTGATGAAGAGGACTCTAACCTTCCTCATACCACAAATGTCTGATTTCCATCATGTTTTCCATCGTTTGACCTTTCAGTCATGTTTTATTTTCTGGAAACGGTTAAAATTTGCACTGAATTCGGATGAAAACCAGACATTTTGAGACATTTTTTACAGTGTACTTCGCCCTCAGCTGATAGGCCCAGCTGTTCCCGGGAACAGGGAGCTCTTAAACCAATCAAACATCTCTTCCTGCCAAAACGCCAGCGTTGATACGGCGTGCCAGAGCCCACGCGCCACCTGCATCGCATCACGGTGATGAGCGCTGAAGCCAGAGGAGAAAACCCAGCAATGCTTACATAACCTCCGTAACTGCGCCGGCTGCACAATGCCGCCTTTGTCTGCCCTCAGGCTGCGACCACGGGCGCTGAAAACACTGACAACAGCACAGAAAGCTCAAAAAACACAACTTCTATTATAAATATACACATGGACACTTTATCTGATCCCCTAAATCCCCTTAATTTGTCCATTAAATCAGAACTAATTGTGCATAATGAATGTAAGAGGGGCTTTTAAGGGATTCCTCATGATTTCAATTATACAATATAACAATAATGAAGAGATTTTTAATGCCTTTGGTGCAGTTTACAGGGTTATTAATGTGAAAAGACCCATTAAATTGACCTGTTTAATGACCCCTGACTGATTAGCTTCATCTGGATTCAATTTGATGGTTAAATGTCCTTTTTCTGGCTTTTACATCTCTGAATCAGCATCCAGCTGCTCTACCAGCTCTGAGTTACACAAAACAAGAACAAATAAGTGTTTGTAGCAGCACTTAGCTTTGGAGCTAATTACTGTCGCAAAAACCAGACTCTTGGATGGACTGGTGTTAGCTTGTTTGCTAACAATATGCAAATTAGAAAGACAGCTTCCAGTCTTTGTGCTAAGCTACACTAAACATATCCTGGTATGATAATGCATAGCTGCAAACGCCACTGGATTCGTTAGCAGCAATAGGTACAATAATGTTAGCTAGTTACAACGAGTGTGCGTAGTTGCCACTTTATCTGGTAATTAAACACATGAACTAATGTCGATGAGGCTAGCTGTTTTGTGGCTATACTGGCTAGCATTTTTTCCTCATTGTTATGCTAAGCTAGGCTAAACACATAATGGTACAACACTGAAATCAAGTACCACAATGAAGGAATGCTACCACAGTAAAAACAGCTAACAGTATTTTGGAAAAGCTAAACGTTAACTCCCCGGAGTTCTTGTGCTTTCCCGTGTCGCAGGTTCTCATGGATCCTGGTGGAGCCTCCTGCCATAGTCCTGCT